GAAAAATTTAAAAAATCGTGAATATTCAGCGTCATTCAAATTACATTTCGAACAAAATTATTGTTTTTTCTTAAATATTCGCTGTTTATAAATAAATAAATAATTGAAATTATTTAAACTTTCAAAAACCATATTTTTTAAGGCATGAAATCGATTTATGGGAACATTCTAAATATGAATAAATTTGTAACGATTCGGGACAAATGATCTTTATGATGAAAAATAGATTCCTATCGTAATGTTTATACATTATTGATGAGAAATGCTGGTAATTTAAAAAAAATTGGAATTTTTCAATTATTTCATCAATTTTCTTCTAAAAGAGAACTTTCTAATTTTTTTCAGATTTTCAAAATGTTTTCTAACGGTTGAATATCGGGATTCAAATTCAGACCTGCAAATTTAAATAATAGAATCATTATAAAATGTCCGGAAACTTGGGGTCAAATCAAGTTCAAATGAAAGCTCTGATGTTTAACTATTAAAACAGAAAAGTATTTCACTGGAGAAAAAATAGCCAAAATACTTGGATATCTTGAAGTCCTCTAAATTTTCTTTCCAATTTGTTTTCAATAGAAAAACAGAAAAATTCAACTTCATTATTTTAATTGTTTCAATTGTTAAATTAATTTTTCGTCTCCTCATTTTCAATTAGGAATTTGATGTAACGAGAATTGTATGATTAATTATCAGAAAATTATCGTTTTAAACGTGAAATTTTAATTTTTATAAACATTCGTAACTGAAATTGTATAATCATGGATAATCAATTATAATCAGGCAATGAAGGAGTTGATTAATTGATCTAAATTATTTTTATAGTTCCCTAGCGAAGCGGTAAAACGGTTTAAATAAAAATTACCTTTTTGAGCGGTAAAAATTATTATCATCATCTTAGAATTCGATTTTTACAAAACCGGGAGGCGAAGACTGAGAAATTCTGGACTGCAATAAATTTTATAATCATTGTTTAGTACTCTGAATAGAATTCCAATTAAAATGGTATTTAGTGAGCACAGAAACTCAGAATTATTAAATCACTTATTGAAATTGTTTTCAGGAATAAGATTTTATCACTTTCATCAATTCAATTGTTAAAGTAATTTCTATTCACCTGATTTCTAATTAAAAATGTAATGGAATAATGAATGATTGAATAATTGTCGGAAAGTTGATGTTTTCAGTGTGAAATGTAAAATCGAAAAAAAATTGCAAACATAAAAAAATCTTGTTTTGCGGAGAGTGGAATCGAATTTTCATGTTGACAAGTAGATAAAGATCGACGCGTCTGATTAGTGCCATTCTGGGGTCTCGCAGACACCCACGCACTCTTCGCTCAGCGCGAGAAACTTTCTCTCCTCCGGGTACCGATCAGTGACGACCCATTGTGTGTTAATGCCAGCCAATAATTCACCGAAGTCTGAGAAACCTCGAGGTCATCCCCCGTGACCCACAAATATTTCCCGGTTTATTGTCATTATCATTGGAAAAAACGCGATTATTTAATTTGTCATGAAGTGAGTAACTGCGAACTAAACTGAGAAAAAAATTAGAGAAAAATACACTAAGAAGACAAATGTTTTTTGAAAAATAAGTCTTTAATTGTATCAAAAGAAATTCATGACGGTAAAATTATCAAACACACAATATCTCACCCTAAAAAAAAATCTTACGCCAAGAAATTTTATTCTTGTCATGTGGGTAATTGCGCCGAAACTGTAAAATTTACCCTGCATTCCATCAAAAATTATCCTGTGAATAATTTTCGTGACTGATTGCTCAATATTGCTTCCCTTCGTCCCCACGACTTTCTAATGGGTGCAAGAAAAAAATACCCTTCCTGTGTGGGAAATTCTACTGTACCGGAGAATAATTCAGTAGCAAAGTGGTAAAACGGATTAAGTCGACTTACCTCCCAGTTGAGTTTCTGAGGAATATTTCCGAATCTAAGGGAGATAGCGAATTTTTCGTAATTACATTTGTTGTAGCTCTTAATCGGCTTTGCAAAAAAGGTTATAATACAAATCTTGCTATCTCCCTTAGATTCCGAGATATTCATTGAAAACTGGTCAATAGTCAAAATTGACTTTTATCGTTTTACCACTTGACTACTGAATTCATCCACAGATTTTGTGGGTAATTTTTACCCAACTTTTCTCCCCATATAATCACAGTAATTCTTGTCTTCCGGTGATCCTGACACTGGTTACACTAATAGTTTTTATTTTTACATCGTGCGATGAGTAATGATGATATAATTAAATTAAGTAATCAGACTTGAGATCTTGACTTAGTTTTAAAATTCTGTTTATTTATTCAAATTTTATCGCGGATTACGGAGAATTCGATTTCTCGTTACGTAACTGCTTTCACTGTGTCCAAAATAATGATCAAAATAAATATGATCGTGAAGGGGTCACGTGTCGTCACTGGGTATCATAATGTTTCACCGGTCAAACGACTTTCTCCAACTTCCTCTCACTTTCGTTCAGCGCGGAGGATTCGAAGACAAAGGGATTCCTTCCTCCCGTCTGATACAGTTTAAACTCTGTCCAAATGTTTTATTTTTTCCTCAAGACGAGACACTAAAAAATTTTCTCCTTAAATTATTGAGAATTACTCGTTAATTTGTTCATCACATGACCGTATTTTTATCGTAAAACCGAGATGTCAATAAATGTGAATGTAAAATTCACCTTGAAATCGCTGGGAGAAAGGTGAGATGCACTTTCACGGAAAGATTTTGTTTGTGAAACTGATGCGGAGGAAATTTCCGCAAAAATTCATCGTAAAATTCGAATTTAACACTCGACAGATAATTAAATCTGAAGTATACTTTTAGCACTCAGTTGAGTTAATTTCTCTTTTGCAAAGAAATCACGTGCGAGAACGTTAAGTGCCAAAAGCAATTGATTTTTATTTCAATATACATAATACAATTCATTGGCTGGAATTGTTTCTAACAAAATTGTTCAGCTGAAATTTTCTAGAATTTTCTTGTTCAATTTTTATAGAAAATATCTGTAGGAAAGAGTTGGGTAAAACATCTTCTTATCTTTAATGATCAATAATTTGAGAGCGATAGACTGATATTTTCCGATTGAAATTTCATTTTGAGGTATTTTTTTAAACTTCAAAATGAGGCTTGATTCATCCTAATTTAATTCTATTCATTAAACTAATTGTATTAATTGTTGTTCTGCTAAATATTCTTACACTGAGAGAAAAAATTTGTTCTGCCGAAACACTATATGTTGCACGTGAGAAAATTTGATGGAGGGGAATAGATTTACTTGAGGGAAATTAACCAACTTGATAGAACGAAATTTAATATCTTTCACAAAAATTAAATTTTTGTCGTGATCATCAGAAATATCCGTAGAAGAATTCAAACTGTTCGCAGGAAAAAATATAATGTGTTGGACAACAATCATTTGACCTGAGAGAACTCCATAGGTTTATACCATAGAAAGAATTGACGAGGAATGAATTTTTTTTTCCCAAACAAAAAATTGTCCACTCAAAATTATTTAGTTTTGCCAATAACGCGGTCGAAAAAATTTAATAGAAAAACCTAGCGAATCGGTTTGAAAAAAAAAAGTGCGGAAAAACGCTTTAATTTTTCAATTAAATATGCGGAACATCAGTAGAAATCCAATAGAATTTCTAAACGAATGCACTCACTGTCGACCCAACGATCGGTCGACAATCATTACTTTTGTAATATTTTGTAATATTATTAGAATTTGCGCCTTTCTATTACTACGGTTATTTCATCTTAATTGAGATTGGAAAATAATAAAATAATTAATAAATTAAATTTTCGATTAACGATTGAGTAAAGAATTCTAAATTTCATAAAAGGATTTTTTCGATTAGACAAGTAATTATCAATCTCCTGACACGATTACTGGTCGATAGATTATTTCGGAATTCGAATATTCGATTGATGATTACTTTGGTAATTGAAAATTGTTGTGTAATGTTATCAGTTAAACACAAGTTAAATTTAACTCATTTTGAAAGCGATGATTATTCCGATCTCTGCTCAGTCCTTAATTCAGTAGAGAAGTGGTAAAACGGTACAAGTCAATTTTGACTATTGACCTGTTTTCAATGAATATGTCGGAATCTAAGGGAGATAGCAAAATTTTTGTTATAACTGTTTTTGTAGAGCCGATTGAGAGCTACAACAAATGTAATTACACAAATTTCGCTATCTCCCTCAGAGTCCGAAATATTCCTCAAATTCCTCAGTCAGTATTATCTAAATTAAATTTCGCAAAATATTGATATTTTTTCAAACATTTCCCTCTTATAAATAAAGAATAAAACTTGTTTGCAAAACGGTGGATCATTTTTTATGAGGTGTCAAAAAAATTCTTGATTTTTTCCCATCTAATGAAAAAAAATTCAGATTTGAATCTTTGATTACAACGGAAATGTTGATTTTCACATAAGAAAATTGATTAAATCCTGATTTTTAAACATTTCTTCTTTGAAAACCCAAAAAGATAATTAAATTGAGAAAAAAATTAGAATTCCGAATCTAATTGAGTTTTCTGCAATTTTTTCGCAATTTTTAATAATCTTTGAATTTACCATAAGGGTAGAGCTACTTTAAACCGCTTTACCACTTCGCTACTGAATTAATTTTGGAACCTGATGTATATCACATATGGTGCCCCACATCACTTTGAAAGTTTCAAAATTAAAATTTGAACAATGCCATTGTCATGATTTTTATGTCAAACAGAAGTGAAAATGTGACATGAGATCAGAGTCGAAAATACCCGAAGAAAGCGGCTGAAATGGGAAAGTCCTACTTCCGCACTTACTTTCGAGGTCTGACTATCTCAAATTTGCGTGATAGATCAAGAATATTGCCTCCCACATGTCTGCTGCTGCTTATTCAATGAATCCCCCCACGCAATTTTGAAACAATTCAGGGTTGAATATAATTTTGAATTATTTTAATTTGATTATTCTGTTGCAGAAAAATGTGGGTCATTTTCTTGATAGGTCTCTTGACTCAGGGCCTGGCGACACAGGTCTCGTATGGCTCGAAGAGCTCGTCAGTATCATCGAGCGAACCAAAAACCCAGTGGTCGTGGCAAGAGCCTACGGCGGAAGCCAGTAATGATGACGCCTCCTTCCACCCTTTGAGTTTTTCCGCTGGAAATGCTAATATTCAGTCCGGATCCAGTGGAGTTGCGCAAGCACTTCCAGACCAACACTCGGTAATTAATAAGAGCCTGAAGTAATATAGAGTATCGTAGATTCCTCGCACGACAAAATTTCATTGAAAAATTTAGCGAGTTCGATAGAAAATTGTATTACTGTTAAAAAAATTTGGCTGAATTTCCCTGAAAAATACCTTCAGTTCGATCTACGGGGAAAAAATTGAGAGAATTTCAAGTTTCTCTGAAAATTCAAGTGAAATTCCATTTTTTTTAGCGTCAAGAAGACGAAAATTCCACAATTTACATGAATTTTCAAGGGAAAATGAAAACTGCTGAATTTCCTCGAATTTTTAGGGAATTCTTTTGAAATTCTTAGAATCCCCGGTTTTCCGGGTTTTTCAGTAATTTTCCCGGAATAATTAAACTGAAATTTACAGTTCCCACGAATTTTCCATGAAATTATAAATTTTCGATGAGAAAATTCCTTGAAATTTCCGTAGAAAATTTTTAACAGCATAGTTCTTCGCCGTTTTTACTGATGAATCGCGCAGGTATAGTGTGCGTTATTCATACGAAATATCCAACAGAAAATATTTGATGAAAAAAATCAGTAGAATTTCATCTTTCTAGACAAAATGTTTTTATTGTGACATTTTCTAGCTTTCTGCAATCTATTTTTTTTCTCTTTTCATTATTTTTTATTAAACCCTTCTATTAAAAAAAAGCGCAGATGAGCTGTGAAATTTTTCCATAGAATTGGGCAAAAACCAATAGAAAATTCAATAGCGAGATTTTTCTAGCGAATTCGCTGGGTTCTTCTATTAAATTTTTTCGTATTTTTTTCGTTTGATGAAGAGCTACGAAGCAACATTTCTAATCATTCTGAGATTCAAAATCATGTCTACAGAGAGCAAAATTTCTTAGCAAAATTCATGTGCTAAGCACTATAAACGAGTCACAATCCGCACACTTGGAAAAATTATTGTGTAGCACCAGAAATATTCTCGGGCATCAAAAAAAAAATTACGATGCTTTCAATAATTTTGCCACAATAATTTTTTCAAGTGTGCAAGCTGAGAATCGTTTATAGTGCTAGTACATGAATTTTTCCAGAAAATTTTTCTCAGCGTGTAATGAATTTGGCCTGAATTCACATAGCGTTGAGGGTGTCATTAGCATTCAATAATGACAAGTGAAATTCAATTTGTCTTCGACAATACAAAAACTTCTGCCCCAACTAGTCTTTTATCATAGTCATCTTTCTTGAGATAATTCAATATCTGGAACATGCCTCAGTAAAGAAATCCAATGGAGTTCAAATAACCGATTCATTTGATCCAGGTCGACCGGACAGTCGATGATATTCTGGTTTCCTACCGACAGGGACGCAACCTACCTGGATACGATGATTTGTACGCAGACTCAGAGGTCAAGAACATCCTCCAAGTTGGTAACGACACGATAGCGCGTTCCTACATCCAGGACAAGCTCTGTTCCCTCGGTCTCATGAACGTAAGTATTTTCCAGCGTAACAAATCACTTAAAAGGGGAAAATAAAGAAATAGAAACCTGAAAACGTGAAAATTAAAAACCCTCGACGAAAATGGTGTTAACTGACTGATGTATAAAAACAGAAATTGGGAAATTGCTTTTGTCACAATATGGCCAATATATTCTTACCAATAAATTAGCAATTTGCTTCCAAATTAAATTTCTATGACAATGCATTTTTTTAAACACAACTTCAATTTTAAAGATTAAAATCTGACGTAAATTTTGAACGAAAGTGACTATAAACAAAAACATTCTGATTGAGTTGTGTTCCATCGGCAGTCCCACACTATTGATAATAATTAATCCAGAAGTGCAAAAATAACACTCGCCGAAGGCGACTACGACCCTCTCAGAAAATTAAGCTAAAAAATTGCAGGCGGCTGTATCTTCAATACAGCTGTACTTGTATATGGATACGTCCATGGTCTTTCCTTCTTTCTCGAATTTCCTAGAAACTCCATGAATTTTTTCGAAATTTCAAGAAACTTCTCGAATTGCCTCGAAATGCCCAGAATTTTCTAGACTTCCGATAGATGGCGCTGCACACAAGGACAGTTTTCCAAAATGACCCCCCATATTGAAACCATAGACGTCAAAAATGAAGATAATTCCCAAAAAATTAAAAGCCAACCACTTACCTCAAATTTCAACCTTCTCTAACATTTCAGTGTGAAAACCTGGAAGGCAGACGTCCCTACTACGCCCCCCACCGTGACATCCACCCGCAGGAGGTCATCTACGCGCAACCAGTCACAATAAAACCAGTAGGACGTCCTCTCCCCGCAATTCCAGTCCGAAAACCCGTGGGCTACGGTCCCCCGAAACCAGTGCCCGTGCCCCCGGGCTTCGGTTCCGGCCCCTTCCACTCAGGTCCCCCAGGTCACGGATTCTCCGGTCCACCGCCATCCTTCTCAGGCCCCGTATCCAGCTACCCCGGACCCTACCAATCCTACAAGAAGCCCCCCCACTTCATCAACAACAAACCCATCTACGAGGACACTGGACTCGACGGCGAATACGACTTTATCCCCGAGAATAAACACGACTTCCTCGAGAAGAAACAAGTGCTTCCGCCAACTGCTGGAATTCAACAACACGTGCATCATCACTACCATCACGGTGACGACAAGACTGCCTCGGTGATAACCGGCACACCAGGATTGGCGGGACCAATCCTCGGCCCGGGACCAATCGGCGGAAATTACGGCTACGGTAATGGCGGGACATACGGACAGCAGTACAATGACTTCGATGAGTACAAGAAGACATTCAAAATTAAGGAAACACCTGGGGGTAACAGTCTGGACCCCATCGAGAGCACCTCCAGTTACGCAAATAAATACCCAATCTATGAGAAGCCCAAGAGGGATTCCTTCTTCAACGGCAAAGGATTCGGAAGCAGCGAAGGAACTGGAAAGGTTCTCACTGGAGGATTCGGAAGTAATGGCTTCAGTGGTTTTAATGGTGACAATGGCTTCTCCTCGTCGAACTACGATGATTGTGTCTGCGTACCCTACGACCAGTGCGCTGCCATCGATCACGCTGGCCGTAAAGACGATCTCTTCCTTCCCATTGACCCCAGGAATACCGGAAAGAACATTGACGCAGAAGCGGAAGACATCGTTGTGACTGATGCCAACGGTGGAATGAGTGTCGTTCGGGTTCCCAAAGGTGTCAATGCTACTGAGCAAGCTGACCAGAAGAAGGAATCTGACGACAAGAAGAATGACGGAGGCAAAAGGCAGAAGAGAGAGGCAAAAGCTGAGGCCAAGAGCGGGGGACCAACTGATAAAGCAGCCCTCGCGCAATCTGTAAGTTGGAGTTTCACTCTTTATCCTCTTGCTGTTTCCTAATAACTTTGATCTAACACTTCAATACTCCACAATTTCGGAATATTTATTTTGGGGATGAATCATTGATGAAGTGGTGAACCGCGATGAGACTGTTTTGGAATGCAGTGATCTTGGGAGATGTAAGAGAATCTTCCGGTAATTTTCCTGCCACACTGAGAAAAAGTTCAATGGTAATTTTAACTACAAGGGAATTGTTCAAAGAAATTATATTTACAGTAACAATAAACTTTGTAGATTAAACTAGGATTCATCGTTCGATTTACTATGTCAAATAGTGTCATCAACATTATGATGTAATTTTCACTTTAATGTAATAGTTGAATCTACAATGTTTATTGTTACCGTAAGTATTATTTTTTTGACAATTTTCTTGTAGTTGAAATTACCATTGAAATTTCTATCAGTGCATTTCGTTACGGTTTGCCGCTTTACAACAGAAATGAATTTTCTGGGCTTTCTGGTAATGACCCCCTAACACCCTTGAGAACCTGGACCTCCGATCGAACGTTCCCTCCCTCTCTCTCAAAGCTTTGCCTGTTGCACTGTCTCTTTCATGTCCAAATAATTGTTTCCCGCTGTCTCTAGAATATTCAAATGATGGGATGAAATTTATTGGTCTGTGCGGTCCCAAGGAAAACTCCGGGTCAAAGAAGTTCAAATTTTTTTTAAGGCCCTTTTGGGTCCTCTTTTCGGGTCTCATTTCGGCACTCTATCCAACCCTGTGCAGGGGACTGTGGATTCTACACTGTACCGCGTTCGCACTCCTATAGAACACTCCTATAGAATATAGGATTAGCATGGGAAACCACAGGACATCCATGCCGGTACAGGCGGTTACTCTATTAGCAACCTCCCGCTCGCCGGAGCCTTCCGTTGAAAAATTCGGTTCCACGGGGAATCGAACTCACAACCTTTCGCGCACTAGACTTGTGTCTAGCCCACTCGGCCACTTTTTTTTTTTTTGATTAACCAAATTTTTATTCTGAAAACAGTTATTATTTACATATATACATATCTTACAAACTAGTCTCAAAAAACTTTTATGAAAAATATTGTTGAATACGTAAACTTTGGTCCCGTGGGGACTCTCGAGTTTAATTAGTATCTTAAGTATAATAAAATGGTTACATAACAGAGTATTGTTTCTTTCACTTTTTTCAGCATAACTGAATTTCGTATCATTTTTTGTGCTAAAAAAAATATTAATAAATTTTGCATGTGTGAAAAAAAAGTACTAGAAAATCGCGGCAAATTTTACTATACGAGAGGCAATCGTGGAGCGAAATTGTAATTCAGTAGAAAATACCTTTTTCGCTCCGACAGGTGAAAAATAGGGTTTTAACTTCGGGAGGTAAAATACAGAACCCTTACACACGCAATTCCACACGTGGACACGGTATCCGGATATTTTTTCCCCGGAAAATTGTTCTCCATCATTTTTTATTTGCAATTTCTATATTGTTTTTATTTTATTCGTCTGGATGGTAAATGGTGATCCACCCCCCGGGTAGTGGTTATCACTACACGGAGAGAAATTTTTGATAAAAATTATCCTACCGTTGTATAAAAGTGTAGCATGAGTCATCGTTTCCTCATTTCTATCCCGAAATTTAGTAAAAATTGATGTATGATGATCAAATTTTCTTCTATGTTAGAGACACTTTATCCTGATAAAATGAAAAATTACCGTGCCGGTAAAGTAAAAATTACTGTACCGATAGGATAAAATTTACCAACCGTTCTAGAATTTTTCGTTGTTATCTACATAAAAATTATTGGACTGGAAGGGTAAAATTTATTGTGTCAGGATAAAATGCTTCACCTTAAAGCATTATGATCTTCGCCTTAAAGCTATTGTTGATACCTACAATCGCGATGACGATTATAAATATCTGAAAAACATTGATAACATCCTATCATTTTGAATTAATATTGATTTACATTTTTCACGCGGACTTCGAATTGGGATGCGGTTCTCGAATTTCAGATTTCATATTATTCGATGCGTTGTGACATCTATTTAATAATCTTCTTTTTCTTTAAATATCTTCATGACACTACAATTTGTGTTTATTCGCTTCTTATTGTGGTTTTTTTTTATTTGGGGATGGTTTTTGGAATTTTTTGGGAAGTTCATGTTTTTGGGGAACGATTTTCCGGGGAACATTTCTCCTAGAACCAATTTCCCAAGTCAGCAGGGGATAATTCACTGTTTTCTCGCACTTTCTGCCCCGATATAGACAAAAAAAGACTTAGAAAGGGATTTCGCCCCACGATTCCATGACTTGTTTCACAATTTCTCTCTATTTTTGTTCTGCGTGTATTGGCGATCACAACGTTGATGTGAGAGCCGCCAAGTGGTCTCTAAACTAACCACTCTTGGCGGCCAACCACTAACATGACTGGGTTCTCCTTGATCTCATTGGTTGAGCCCTATTATTGGTTCCCTCCTAGGGATATCATTGGTTGGCCCCCAAGATGAGTCAGTTCAGAGATCACGTGATGGCCCCCAAATCTAAATTGCGATCGCGAATACGGAGCCATCATCAGGGGTACAAATTAATAAATACCACCGCAGCAGATGAACACGGACGAAAAAATTTAATATAAAAACCTATCGAATTCGTTGGAAAATTTTATTGAATTTCTATTGAACTGTTCAAATAGTCTTTGGCCGATTCTATTAAAATGTTCAATAGAAAATATTCAGTAGAAAAAGTCAATAGAATTCAATTTTTCTGTATAACCTATTCTATTGAGATATTTTCTATAGAATTTCCTCGGGTTAAATTTTCTAAGTTTCTTCGTTTGATTTTCTTGATGAGAAGAAAAGAAAAATAGAATGAAAAAAACTTAGAAAATTTGAGTGGAGCAAATTCTACAGACAATATATGAAAAGAATAAGTTGTATAGAAAAACCGAATTCTGTTGACTTTTTCTACTGAATTTATTCTCTTGAACATGTCAATAGAATCAGCCAAAAACTAATAGAAAGTTTGATAGAAATTTAATAGAATTTTCTAACGAATTCGGTAGGTTTTTCTATTCACTTTTTTCGTGCGTGAAAAAAAAAATCACATCAATCAGTAACATATTAATAAACTATGGCAATGATACATTATCCTCAAACAAAAATGAGAGCAATCACCGGATAGACCAATAAATTTCATCTCCCCGATTCTCGGTCCCAACACCGTCAAGACATTAAAACGAGAGAAACTATGATGACAAAATGAAGAAGTCGTCCGGTCATTTCTGATGTTCTCCAGTGTCACCCAAGTATCAATAGCCCCCTGTCAGTGTCACTTCGAGTCCCAGTCTGAGAAGAGGTCCATGGAATCCGAGGCATTCAACAAAACCCCGTAGTTATCTAACAACCGTCCTAATCCCGCGTTAAACTTACCAAGTGGACCTTGGATCTCAAGCAAGCTGCTGTGACTCTTTGCAGCGATTGCTGGGTAACATTGACTCGTCGAAGCTCAATGTCAAACCGACCTGGGGAGTGAGTTTTGGTTTGCCACAGGGTGGCGGAGGATACCCGGTGAATCCATACGGTGAAAATCCCCTGCAAAGCCCATACGGAGGCTACGGTAGCGGTGGAAATGGTCTCAATCTGGGATTAGTATCGGTGAATCCACTGGTTGCACTTCAAGTTGGGAAAGACGATTATGGGGAGAAAGTTATAAAACCGTTCGTTAATCTTCACGTGACGCCCAATCAGGGAATTGTCAACAAGTTCACCGATCTCTTGGCTCACAAGAAGCAACAGTTGCTGGGTGGATACGGGCAATACCCAGGGTATCCTGGATATGGTCATTACGCTCCACATCATCATGGACCACATTACGAGAGGCCTCAGCAGCATTTTCACCAGCATCAACACCAACACCAGTACCAACGTCCTGGCTGGCTTGGGACCACCGGAAACTACGGAGGAAATTATGGGGGAAACTATTACAGCAATTATCCGGAAAATTATGGAAATTATCCTGGAAATTACGCTGGCCATCACGGGCAATATCACGGCTACAATGGCTACAATCGAAATGATGAGGATTACGATTATTCGGATCTGTCTGACTACAGTGACTACGCGAGGAGCAGAAAATTCAACGGCACTGGGGCGAGGGGACAGAGTGGGAACGATCAGGACAGAGGTAGCAAAGTGGCATTCAGAGATAGAAAGAGACGTGACGTTGGAGAGGTGAATGTTCAGGAGGTAAGGGATAATTTGTCCACATTTCGGATCATCTGGGACACAGCTCACAACGATAAAGGACTGTTGACTTCAGACAGAAATAAACAAACGTCCATCTGATTGTGATGATCATTGACTGGATCACTGGGTTTAGTCATGAGCTTCAGAAAAGACCAACGACTATTTTTCATATTTTACGCTTCATATTTTCACTTTCATTACGCTGAATTATTCTCCCAGACTTTCTCGCTTTCTATCTAAGCGTAGGTAATTTCATGTCATGATGACGACTTGACTCTGCATTTTTCTACCCTCATTTTAATGATTAAGTAGTAGTAATATGGCTCTTATGGCTTTCTAAGCGGGTTTCTTCGCTTTGAAGGATGAATTACTGACTTTTGTAAAAGGATGTTTAATTATGGAGAATTTGCATGGTAGGCGAGGAGGTAATTGATGGCGCTTATTTTCGGTTAATAGAGGCAATTTGGGAGACCACCGGTGTGTGGACCACGTCATGTTTGCTGCAGAAGAAATCAGCTTCATCCCGGCAGCTTAAATCGCCCCAAATCTGGACAGTGTGGAGTCAGAAATGGACAGGGAGTCAATGGACGTATCAAGACTCCAGTTTACATTGATGGAGACTCTGAATTCGGTAATTAACTTCAGCAATCGGAAATTGACTTTAGTTGGAGATCAGCTTTTGGTTCATTATTTTAGAGATAATGACATTTTCATAATGATTTTTTTTAACACAACGAAATTTGGGGTAATCGTTCTCTAAATTTTGGTGGGAGATTTTTTTTTTGACAATATCTTTCGAAACTTGAAGTGAGATATACAAGAAGATCATTCAGTTTCAGGTTTCGATATTGTCTTTCCTCAAGAAATTAATTTTCTCAAAGACACTGGGTTGTTTTCGCACTTTTAGATTGATAATTATCGAAGTTCTTTCGTCCGATTACTCTTCGTTTAACGTCAGTTCGTCCAATTATATTTTCAGTCTAATTTTTTCCGTCCAATTATTTTTTTCCATTTTTTGTCTACTCTAATTTTTGTTGAATTGCTTTAAAAAATGCATTCGGGGAATCATGTGATTGATTTATGAACAAGATTACAAGTGACAATAAACTTTTCTCTGAAATTATTTCGTTTGTAGAAAGGAAATCACAATTGATAATTTTCGACACACTTTTCTCTAAAAATATCTTTGAACATTTGAAGAATTTTAGAGTGTTCTTTTTCCATTGTATTTCCATCTCATTCTTTATTGACGACTAGGCTTTCCGTTTACTTATCGTGCGAAACCCGCTGTTCGACAGGGTTTATATCGAGATCGCGTATACGTTATTCTGGTTTCGTGTCGTTATCAATGAGTAATTGGATTTTGGTTCCTCAGATTTGTGTTCATATTTACCTGTGTTTATAGTGTGTTTATGTCGTTTTTCGGATCATTGTTCCTTGAGTTTTTGATATAGGTCGATTTGGACGAAAAATCATAGAACGAATGGTTGTTTGGACCAAATGACCCCCAATCGATTATCAATAACACTAAACTGCCAATTGACAAACTCAACCAGAATGTTTATATTCACATCAACTTTCGTTTAGAATTTATCTCAGATTTTAATGTTTAAAACTCAATTTATGTTTGTAAACTTTAAATGAAACTGATTTCAATACAAAATTATTATTCACAGGTGAATACCCTTGGCAAGTGGCAATTCTGAAGAAAGATCCCTCGGAAAGTGTTTACGTATGCGGTGGTACATTGATCTCCCCAAGACACATCCTCACAGCTGCCCACTGTGTCAAGACTCACTCGAGTCACGATCTTCGCGCTCGTCTGGGCGAATGGGACGTCAATCACGATGTTGAATTCTATCCATATATCGAGAGGGACATCGTCAACGTTTTCGTTCATCCCGAGTTCTACGCTGGAACTTTGTACAACGATATCGCAATTCTGAAGCTCGATCACGATGTTGACTTTGAGAGAAATCCACACATCAGCCCGGCTTGTTTGCCTGATAAATTCGATGAGTTTGCGGGAACTAGGTGAGTTAGTCGATCATGAATGCCGCAATAGCAATAGGGAACTTACATGAAGAACTTAGGGAACTTACTCAATTCTTTCCAATTCTTCTATTCACACATTCTTCATAACATATGGATAGCTACACTGAGAAAATTATGGAGAAATATTGCCTAGATGTCTTATGATAATTAATTGAAAATCAGTCGTTTTCGAGGCCAATTTTTTGGTTATGACGTCACGAAGACGGTCAGGTAACACTTCATTGGTTGAAAAAGAAGAGAGTGGGGAGTTGTCGTCCTCCATTGGCCGGGGCGGACCCCAAAGGACTCCCCATAGAAACATTTGGCATGGAGTTGCGATATTTCTCTACGTTATTCTCTAGAGTGTTTAGACGTCTTTCGTATGAAAACAAAAATTTATATAAAAATTTATGTACAGAAATAATTCGTATAGAAGTATCCGAATATCATATACGAAAATCCTATAGAATTTCTGTACCCAATCCGCCCAGAAAATTGTTATACGATTTTTCATCACGCTGTGACGAAAAGTGAACTTTGGTGTCTAAAAGTCCAATTTCCAAAAAATTTCAAAAAAATGTTTTTTAGCTCGTAGGATTATATCACTCGCCTTCGGCTCGTGATATAAATCTCCCACTCGCCAAAAAACACTTTTTTGCACTCGTTACGAAATATACTATTTTCATCTTGTATCATCTTCTCTCAATGAGGTGCATATTTGCCAGACTTGGCGACTTGTCGCCAAAATATCTGGCAACAGAATTCAATTGAAAAATATTTAAATAAATTAATAATAATTAGAAAAAAGCCGTTAGAAGGGCGGAGATGGGTCATCCGACGTTAAAGTGAATCAACTTCGACGAAAAGTGCCGGAACTCCCGGTAGCTCAATAGGTAGAGCACCAGACCGGTAATCTGAAGGTCGCGAGTTCAAACCTCGCTCGGGCATTCCTCAATTTTTTCCGAAATTGATTCACAAATATCATAGTTGCCAGACTTGTCGCCAAAATATCTGGCAACAGAGATGAGGTGACTAAGTTCTTGAAGGAACGATCATGTAATGGTGATGGAACACTGAATATTTTCTATCCCCTGTAGATGTTGGACAACAGGCTGGGGCAAAGATGCCTTCGGGGACTTTGGCAAGTACCAAAACATCCTGAAGGAAGTGGATGTGCCTGTTATCAGCAACCAAGTGTGTGAGAACCAGATGAGAAGAACCAGATTAGGGCCCACCTTCAATCTCCACCCAGGATTCGTCTGCGCTGGTGGTGAGGACGGAAAGGACGCTTGCAAGGGCGATGGAGGTGGTCCCATGGTCTGCGAACGCCACGGTGTTTGGCAACTCGCTGGAGTCGTCTCCTGGGGCATTGGCTGTGGACAGCCAGGTGTACCTGGTGTCTACGCACGTGTCTCCCATTATCTCGACTGGATCAGACAAGTCACTGGACAGTACTGAGAATAATGAGATGACAATTGATTTTTCTATTTTATTTATTTATCGACGGTTACCAGGAGTCCCGGAGATATATGAACAATACTATTTAAGTTGAATAACTTATTGTATATAATTAATCATCTTTTCTCTTCGACGTGATTTGATGGAATGCCTAGGAACGATTGTTCATTATTCTTATAATATGTAGTGAGTTTACTGTTTTATAATTCGGATTCATTCCGGAGTGACGAGTAATGCATTTTCTTTGCAATTTGTCTCAGAGAATTATTGAATAAACCATTTGTCAAATCGAAATGTGAAACAAGTGAAAAATTACTCTACCTTATTGTCGCAATATAGTTAATAGCTTTTTGCTAATGCTAATGAAACACTTGGAGGCGCCAGAAATGTCGAAAGAAAAAATTTCCATTTTCACCTGAGGCCAGCACGTATGAACGCTGGTAAGGCTAGATTAATTCGCCTGACCATGCACTTTGAATTCAATTTGAATAACTTAATATGAAATTTAATATTTATATTAACATGGCTTTTGAGGGAAAGGTGCCGTTTGCAGACACCCGTTCAACTATGTGAGCATACATTTTATTATATGAGATGACTCGGAGATTTTTAAATTCATTAATAGCAGTCCAGGAAAAAAAAAGAAACACCGTTTATATTATTGGGGCGTTGTGGGGTTCATACCAGCCGCATGCCCATCGCGAACCCTGGGTCATGCTAAGTGCTGGTAGGGCTAGATTAATTCGTCTTACCATGCACTTTGAATTTAATTTGAATAACTTAATATAAAATTTAATATTTATATTAACATGCCTTTAGAGGGAAAGGTGGCGTTTGGGACACTCGTTTATCTATGTGAGCATCCATTTTATTGTATGAGATGACTCAGAGAGGTTTAAATTCATAAATAGGAACCCAGGAAAAAAAAGAAACCGTTTATATTATTGGGGCGTTGTGGGGTTCATACCAGCCGCGTCCCCGTCGCGAACCCTGGGTCATGCTAAGTGCTGCTAGGGCTAGATAGGGCTCTATCCAAAACCGCCGTAATATTTTGGCTCATTATCCTGCGTTTTTTAGGTTTCATGGCCGCTGAAGGAATNGCTAAGTAAAGGGCGATACTATCGTCAGTGTCGTCTTTCCTCGAGCGTTGAAGGTAAGAATAAGTTCTTTTTTTAGGACATTTTGAGTCCCCTTTTTGAGTCTCATTTCGGCACTCTATCTATGGATTCTACAATGTAGCGCATTTGCACCCTGGCGGATGAGTCCGAGACCTATCCGAGAGTAGCTCCGACACTCGGAATGGACACTCATTCGACTCTCGGATTTTCGGAGGTTAGGGCGCCAAAGTTCAGTAAAGACTCTCGTCCGAGAGTGCATCCGAGAGTTGTTTATGCCTTCACAAATCAATTTGTTTATTAATTAAGGGTGCATTAGATAAGTTGAAAATCCTTTGTGGATCCAATGTAGGTAGAGAGGGTAATTGAGGGTCCCTTGAACATTGCTGAAAGCAGTCTCGGATCAAGTCTCGGACGAGAGCAGAGATACGAGAGTGGTTAAGTAATTGGCAAATTAATTATTTAATCATTTCCGATTAGTTAGAGGGGCTTTGAGTAGCAAGAAAAACATTTTTGGAGCGTCTATCGGTGGACGGGGTATGCGAAGGTCCCTTAAACATTGCTGAAAGCAGTCTCGGACGAGAGTAGCGATACGAGAGTGGTTTAGTAATTAACAAATGAGTTTGTTAATTATTTTTTATT